CTCCCGTCTCTTCTCTGTCTTGTTTGGTGACATGGGATAACAAAGACAGGCATTGAACATTCAACCAATGTCTACCGAGTGCCAGCCTGTCACCGAGGATCCTGGAACAACGGAGCAGGGCCCCTGCCTTCTCGGACCCTGTAGTCTGGTACACAGTAGGTGCTTAATACACGGCAGCCTTTATTATCATCATTCCTCCTAGTGGCCATGGGCTCCTCCCCACTCATCCTGGCAACAAGCATATATTGAGCATCGCCCACGGTCCATGGTGCTGGGCAGACGGAGGGGAAGACTGTGGGTGAGCATCTCGCCCACCCTGGGGCGGGCCGCCTCCTGGGGTGCCCAGGCTGCACCCCGCCAGCTCCTCGGGGAGTGGCGTGGGTAGGTAGGAGCACAGGCTCTCCCCGCAGGACCTGGCTGAGCCTATAGGTCTCCGTCCGATGATCCTGAATCCTGAGCCCTGATCAGCTGACATGCCCGCCACAGGCCTGGGCTCAGGGGCAGCAGGGTGCCCGAGCTCGCCCCTCACTCCCAGGACACTCCTGGGATGGGAGCCAGGAGGCCTGGTCCTCCTCCTCCTGCCTCCCCCTGCCTCCCGGGTCTCCCGATGCCCTCGGTCTGCCCTTGTCTGTCTCCTCTCCCCTCGCCCCCCGGGACCCAGGGTGTCTCCTCCGCCCAGGGACAGGTCTGGAGCTCGGCGCTGTCAGAAGGCTGGCGAGGGCGGCAATATTTTCTTTCCCCGAGTGTGAATGTGCTGACACTAAGGGGACTTGAAACCATGCATGTCACCGGAGAGAGGTTTCGAAGGGCAGGGGCGGCTTTGCCTGGAGACGGCTGGAGGGGACATGAGAGCTGTCAGCAGGGATTTGGGGCCGGCATGTGGCAGAGGGAGCAGCAAGCAGAGGGCCAGGAGGGAGAGCTCCGGGGAGGCGGGTCCAGCCAGCAGGAGGCGCCGCAGCCCTCCCGTGCCCATCCCTGAGCCTGTCTCCTGTGAAGCAACTTCCTGTGGCCGCCCCGAGGGGGATGGGGGGAGCATGCACCCCAATGGGCTGGCCTCATCATTTCCAAGGTTCCGTCCAGCCCCAGACCCTGCAACTCCACGCCCTGGGGACGGCTTGCTCTGGCGGGCAGGGGAGGACATGCTGGCCCCCTGATGGCAGCGCCATGCGTCAGCCGAGGAAGGCACGTCACTTACTCACAGCCTCAGTGCAAATCTGCAATGGCAAGCGTTTCCCAGGCCCCGCGGGCTGAGCAGGGGATGCTGGGAGCCTGGCGGGGAGAGGGCACTGCCTGGAAGGCCATGGCATCCGCCATGCTGCAGGGTCCCAGGGCCCTGAGCAACCCCCCAAGAGGGGAGACGGGGAAAGAAGTGCCGCTGCGTAGGTTGAAGGGGACTCATGGTGCCACAGCCTCACCTACTCCGCTCCCACCTCCTTACTCTGGAGGGGTTCCCTGGAACCCCAGGTGTTCCCAAAAGCACCCAGAGCTGGGGTATAGGCTCCGAGCCAGGCTGCAGGCTCAAACCCTGGCTCTACTACCTGCTCTCTGAAGGACCCTGGACAAGGGGCGTGACCTCCCTGTGCCTCCGTTTCCCCGTTTGTAAACTAGGGATAGCCACACCGCCGACCTCCGTTGCTGTGAGCACTGCGTTGTTCCCGCACGTGGAGCATCTCGGACACCTGCTTGTCATCAGAGCGAGGAAGGGCCGGCTCTGGCACAGCTGAGAGCACTGACCGACCTCCTTTGCTCTTGCTGTTCCCTCTGCCCAGAACATGCTGCCCTCACCTCACCCCCAGCCCCCAGACCACACCAAAGGCCCTCTCCTCCGGGAAGCCCTCCCAGATAGCTCCCTCCATCTGTGTGCCCCCAGAGCCCTCTGTTTACACCTGAGACAAAACTAACACACCAACAACCCTCGTAACCATACCGATCTATGAGTGCTAGCAGCAATCCCAGATCGGACAGCGTTTTTATCTTTATGAAGGAGGAAACGGAGACACGGTGGTGAAGGCACTGGGCCAAGGCTGTTAAGAAAGAGAGGCTTGTCAACTCTCATTGAAAAGTAAATTTAGAAGAATATATGTTCTTTTTTTTTTTTTTAATTATCATTTTGTAAACAAGGCAGTGGCTGTGCTCACACTTGGGTCTTTCCTCGGGTCTGTCAGAGTCTGGAGCTCCAGGCTGGGGGCTGCTGCTCCCCGGTTCTGGGGCACTGGCTTGCGAAGGCGTAATCGCCGGTTTCCGGCCTGTGCCCGGTGCCCGTGGAGGTGCTCCGTAGAGAGTAGCTGAAGAAAGCTCAACCTGAGGTGGCATTTACTTTACTGAGGAGGGAGTTCAACAAAGGAAGGTGTGCCTACCTGGTATGGCTCAGTGGATAGAGCGTGTTGGACTGAGGACTGGAAGGTCTCGAGTTCCATTCCTGGCAAGGGCACATGCTCAGGTTTCTGGCTCCATCCCCAGTAGGGGGCGTGCAGGAGGCAGCCGATCAATGATTCTTTCTCTCTCATCATTGATGTTTCTATCTCTCTCCCTCTTCCTTCCTCTCTAAAATCAATAAGAATATATTTTAAAAAATTAAAAAAACAGCAGCCGGGACCGGTTTGGCTCAATGGATAGAGCGTCGGCTTGGGGACTGAAGGGCCCCGGGTTCGATTCCGGTCAAGGGCATGTACCTTGGTTGCGGGCATATCCCCAGTGGAGGCTGTGCAAGAGGCAGCTGATCGATGACCCACTCTCATCGATGTTTCTAACTCTCTCTCTCCCTTCCTCTCTGTACAAAAATCAATAAAATATTTTTTTAAATAAATAAAATAAAATAAAAAATAATATAAAAAACAACAAAAGAAGGTGTGGGGTCACCTGCTCTCCCCCTCCCCCAGGCCCTTCTGATGAGGCCGCTCCAGGTCCCGTGGAGGGAGCTGGGCAAAGTGCAGGCCCGTTTCCCAAAAAGCACCCCTACCCACCTCCTCACCTCAGCCCTGCGACTCAGGCCTGGTGACCTGCCCTGCTGAACTGTGGCCGTCACTCTCCCCCCTCCACTCCCCCAGAGGCTGGAGGGTGAAGATGGAGCCTCCTGTTTGTCCTGAGAACTTCGGGGAACATGCTCTCCCGCCCGCAGAAGGAGGGGCAGGCCGTGTTCTTTGGGGTCTGGGCTGAAGGGGCCAGAGCTCCTGAGAGCTGCGGGCCCTGAGGGTGACCGTGGCCAGGCTGCAGGGCGTCTGGGGGCTGAGGCTGTGGGCTTGGGCAAGAGGAAGTTTCGTTGAGGTAGGGAACAGGGAGGGCGGCCTTTTCCCACAGCTGGGAGGCTCCGGAAATGGGAAGGGAGAGAGGGGGCCCACACAGGACTCTAGGGAGAGCAGGTAGCAAACCAGGTGCCCAGGGCCCTGGAGTGGTGATGGGGGGAGCCCCGCGGGCTCTGAGAGCTGGGGGTGACCTCTGGGCTCTCTCTCTAGGCCCCCCCAGCAAAGCAAGAGGAAGAGCCCAGAAGCTAGCACCTCAGGAGCAGGAGCAGACAGACAGCTGTCCTCCACTCGCAGAGACCGTCCCCCTGGCCCCAGAAGTCCCACGCGGGCTCCTCTGTAAACAGCCGCGTCTCCTTGCCTGTCGGACGCAGCTTTACAGAGATATGTGTCAGTGCCCCTCTCACCCGACTCCCTCACATGACCGTTTCCAGTCACGTTTTGCCTTCCTGATGGATGGTTTGGGCTCGTGGGTACACCCCCCTGCGTGACGGCAGGGAGGGGGTTTATCTGCATTGCAGGGGAGCACACGGGCGGTTATGCGACTCGCCCTCAGCCACGCGGCGAGCAGGAGACGCCATTTGTGCAGAAACCTGTCACTTTCCTCCCCGGGCAGGCCCACGAAGCCTCCCATCCCTGAGGTCCCCGCCTGTGGAGAGTGGCCACAGCGTTTGGACAGGTTCAAGCCTGGGACTAAGGAGAGGGCACAGTCCTCTCGTGGCAAAGCCACGTGCAAGTCCCAGCACAATTACAGCCAAAGGCTGTGGCTGTAAGTCTGACCTGATGGTCCGAACCTGTGGCCCCACATGGCTGAGTGCTGTGGGCTGCGGGAGGTTCAGCAAGTAAACAAAACTTGATCAGGTGCCTGTAGTTAGTGGATTTGAAACCCAGGAGAATGCTGTAAACATCTTTCCCACGCCCCTCCTTGGCCTCGTGGGATCTGGCTATAAAATAAAGACTCGGCTTGCAGATGGTGGCACTGTGGAGGGCAGTGTTCCACCTAGCCCCAGCTTTATTCTCTTGTCTGTCTTTTCTAACCCTTCACCGCCTCCCCTTGCTCCCCGCCCCCCTCAGGTTCACCCCTGGCGTGGCACACAGGACCTCTGAGCTCTCAGAGACTGTCCACCATGGGCACCAAGACTCAGGGAGCGGAAGCAAAGCTGGGCTAAGGGGGTGAGGGCTGATCACAGGGTTCCAGAGCTCTCCTCCTGGACTCTATATGTGGCTGTTGAGTCCCGGCCAGACACTTAAGAGTCTGTCAGTGCCCACAGGGCAGATGCCCTCAGCGGGATTGTAGGAGCCGGCCGCCTTTGGGCAGATTTGGCTGGAGCTCAGAGCTCAGGCTGGGGAGTGCTGAGCGGGAAGGCCTGGGGGAGCAGTGGCTGTGTAAGTGGGTCTGGAGGCCTGTGGGGCCGGCAGGGTTGGGAGCTCGCTGGCTTCTCCCTTGGAGGATGTCATGTTTTGGGGTGGGGGTGGGGGGGAACAGGTGGTATGGAGCCTATGGGCTCACACAGGGCCCCGGGCAGGGAGAGAACGGTAACTATGTCAACCAGCACAACTGTCTCATTTTACAGATGAGGGAGAACGGAGAGCCCCCCCCCCCCCCGATGGGCTGTCGGCAGAGCTTGGGGCTCAGCTCTCAGGGTGGGGGTCAGCTGCAGGGGCGGGCAGCGTGGTGGTTCTGAGGGCTCGGGGCTGAGGGGGGATGGCTGCCCCCCCCCAGCCAATGAGGGTCTGACCTATGCATGTCCTCCTCCCCAGGGGCGCCCACCCGCGACGTCCTGCTGGTCTCGGCCATCATCACCGTCAGCCTTAGCGTGACTATCCTCCTCTGCGGCCTCTGCCACTGGTGTCAGCGCAAACTGGTGAGGCCCCTGCCCCCCGCCCCCCACAGCTACAGGCTTGTGAAGGCTCTGCTCTCCTCCATCTCCATCGCTCGCTGATGGCCCACCTGTCTGTCCTCCGAGGCAGGCGCACCTGACGGACGTTCATGCCGCACGTGCGTGCTGCGCTGGCCCGGGCGCTGGCCACGCAAGTCCGTGTGGACACCCAGAGCCCACACCTGCGGACATTCGTGGAGAGGCGGGTCTGGGGGGGGGCTCTCACGCACCCCGCCTCCCGCAGTTAGAGCCGCAGGCACACACGCTGGGACTGAGAATGGGGGTCCCCTCCCCTTCTTCCCTCCTCCCGCCTTCCGCCCTCCCCCCTCCCCGGGGCGGGGCCGGGCCAGCGTCCTGGCCAATGAGGCGGCTGCGCCAGCCTCGCCCCTCCCCCGCGCCACACATCCATCCCGGCGCCCGGGTTTGTACAAGCACAAGCGGCTCCTTCCGCTCTCAGCGGGCCCGGGGATTGACGAGCGGATCGGGCATCAATAAGTAACGAGATGGTCAGGAGGGACATCCATCACCGAGGGCGCCGGGGCGGAGCGGGGCTCAGCCGCCCGCCCGCAGCCCGCGGCCCGGAGGGGGCTGCCCCCGAGACCCTCCCTTCCCCGTCCCGCCCCCCAGCCCAGAGTGCGGTGGGGCTGGAGGAACTGCCGGGGACACCCGCTCCAGGGTGCGCTGGAGGCGGCCCTGTGTGGGGCTTCCCCAGGGTTAGGTCAGAAGGGTCCCTGCTCAGCCGCAGAGGCGGAGGCAGCGGCGGGGGGCACACCCCTGTGAGGGAGGGAGAAGGCGCAGACCCCTGGGGAGCCCGGCACGCTTCCCGCAGGAACCCCAGCTCAGGACCTGGGACTGGGACTCCTTCCTGAGATGCACGGCTTAAGGCAGCTCTTTCTGCCGCGCCCCCACCCCATCCCAGCCCCACCTCCACCCCCATCTGTGCGTGTGTGTGCGCGCGCGCCCGTCTGCGGGCCGGGCCGGCTGTTCCCGCAGGTGGAGCCAGGCTGGCCGCCCCGCATTGTTCCTGGATCTCCTGTGGCTGCTTCATCTCAGAATTCCAGGGGCGGTGGAGAGTGGAGGGTGGGGGCGTGGCCACGTGCCCATGTACACGCGTGTCCTCCAGGCCGTGGGAGTGGCTGAGCGCACACCGCAGCCTGGATGTCTGGTTGGGCGGTCGGGCTGTCCGGATTGGAGGGCAGGTGAAGGTGTGTGAGCAGGTGTGCGGTGCCCTTGAGTGTGTGTTTGTGTGTGTGTGGGGGGGGGGGGTCTTAGTGCCGAGTGTATCCACTTTGAGGGTATTGGTACAGTGTGTGTGTCTGTGTAGTATGTGTCTGTGTGTGTGTAGTATGTGTCTGAGAGTGTGTGTCTGTGTGAGTCTGTGTGAGTGTATGTGTGTGTGTATGTAGTGAGAGCCTCACCCTGCCCCCACTCACCTGGGACAACAGCTTTGTAGCAGGTGGGCAGCTGAGAGATAAAGAACCTCCCTGGGGCCTCACACCCCTGCCCCCCCTCCTACCCCCCCACCCCCACCCCCGTCCAGCCTAAGGAATTCCCCCAGAGTCCAAGCCACACTGTCCTGACTTCTTTCTCTGAGCTGCCCAAGCCCTCAACCTGCTCCCCCCTCCTCCCCCCTCAGCACCCCTCCCCGCCCCCCGGGCTGCAGAGTCAGGGAGCCCCTCTCCCAGGCTGTCCCCATGCTCCACGGAAGGGGCTTGAAGGGGCGCGAACCCTTGCCGGGCTCCTTCCCACCCGTCCCCTCTGCAGCAGTGACGTGTGCCCTCCCAGCCCAGATCTCATTTCCAAACATTAATAACTTCCTTAATCTCCAGCTGGCTTTTTCCAGCTCGGCTGCCAAGCCCTCCCTGCCGAGCGGGCTGGTGGTGTGGGGTCTCCTGGACCCTGCTTAGGGTTTTCTCCGTGCCCCATGCACTTCCCCTATCCCCCAAGTCAAGTTCCGCCCAATTCCTGTCCCCCAGCCCCCCAGCCCCACTGCAGTGACAGCGGCAGCCGGAGGGGGAGGCTCTGAGCTGTGGAAGGTGGGGAGGCTCTGAGCCGTGGGGGAAGTGGGCCAGCCCACCCCAGCTATGCCCGGTCTGGGAAGGACAGGGACGGCCTCAGGAGGGGGTGCTGATGGGCAAGTTCCCCGCCAAGACTAGGAAGAAAGAGGAGGGTGGGGGGGACAGGGGGTTCCTCAGCCGGAGCCTCGCCCTGCCTGAAGTGCTGGAGGATAGTGGGGTGAGTCCTACCTGCGGGTCACCCCAAGGAGAGCCCTTGGCTACCACGGACCGGCTCTCGGCTCTGACCGTCCCAGTTGGAACTGGGAATTTCTTGGGGTCAGAGCTGGAGCTGAGAACCGGCAGCTTTTGTGGACCCAGAGGGTCCAGCAGCTCCGCTCTTAACTCTTAAAGTTCTGGCTCTGAGGCAACAGCCAGGATGGAGGGATCCCTGGGGTGGGGGGAGGCAGTGACAGCTGTGCTGGGAGGCGGCAGCATGCCCCTGGCTCTTCCCCTGACGCCACCCCAGCGCGGGGAGGCTGCCGAGAGGCACGGACCAGACCAGGGTAGCATGGAGCATGAGGCCTGGGACCAGGATCCTGGCACCCAGACACCCAGGGGTGCTGAGGGTGAATGAGGCCCCTGGCTCCACACACACCCTGCGGGGAGCTCGAGGCCACGGACCCCAAGCAGGTGGCCCTGTGCCCTGTGCCCGGGCTGCGGCTGGCAGGAGCCAGGGAACACACCCGTGCAGCTCCTGTTTGCTCCGGGGTGAGGGGAATGATTGACTTGTGGCCGTGGTGTCGGTGCCCACGCCTGCATGTGGAGAAACGTGTGTGTGCGTGTATTCCCATTGGGCAGGGGCAGGCAAGTGTCCGGTGGGAGAGTGGTCTGCGGGGGCAGCTCCAACATCCCCATGGCCCCTCCCCTGCTGCCCACACCAGCAGGGCCTGGCCAGACCTGTGGCCCTGGAATGCTAATGGTGCCAGGCTCCGCGCGAGCTAAATTTAGAAACCCGACCAAGAAGGTGAATGGTGCTCACCTTCCGGGCAGCAGGCCCAGCCGCCGCCGCTGCAGCCACGGCCCGTCCTCCAGCCAGGGATGGGGTGCCCCGCATTCCGCCTGCCCACCCCGCCCCAGGCTGGGGTGAGGCACCCTGGGGGGCTGCCTTCTCACAGGGAGCATGTTCAGGCCCTGCCCCACCTCCCAGCCCCAGGCACGAGGCCCCCAGGCAGCCCCCAGACAAGGAGGGGTACAGCCTGGGCAGGACTGTGCACAGGCCTCCTCCTCCCCACCCCCGTGGCTCACGTCACTGGCCGCTGCCAGCCTTGCCCTGCGGGTGCCGCCCCACCATCTGGGCAGTGACGGGCCGTGTGACGTAGCCGATGAGTGGCCAGGAGAGCCATCTGTCTGGGCGGAGGGAAACGTGCTCTGGGAGCCCGGCCAGAGCGACAGGAGGACAGGAGAGGCCCCAGGCTGGGCGTCAGGGATGGGGTGCAGGTCAAGGGGGTGGGGCAGGTCTTGGGACCCATTGAGGCCCAGGAAGTGCCAAAGAGCAAGCACTGGTGAAGCTGGCACCCCACAGTGTGACACCCTCACCTTGGCCTCAGACCTTGACACCAAGGCTGAGCTCCAGTCTACCCCCTACCCCAGGAGGAGTACCCGCTACCCAGGGGGAGTGCCCCACTGCCCCAGGGGGAGGACCCACTACCCAGGGGGCACCCCACTTCCCCAGGGGGAGTGCCCCACTGCCCCAGGGGGAGGACCCACTACCCAGGGAGGCACCCCACTTCCTCAGGGGGAGTGCCCTGCTATCCCAGGGGGAGTACCACACTATTCCAGGGGGTGTACCCTGCTACCTCACGGGGAGCCCCCCACTATTCCAGGGGGAGCCTGTTGGTAGAGGCAGGGAGGGTGCTGCCGGGTCCAGGAGTGACGCTGTGCTCTCTCCGTAGGGCAAGCGCTACAAGAACTCCTTGGAGACGGTGGGCACGCCAGACTCGGGGCGCGGGCGCAGTGAGAAGAAGGCCATCAAGTAGGTGCCAGCCGTGGGGTTGGGTGTGGGGTTGGGGGGGTGCAGGCAGCCCTGGTGGGAGGAGCCCCGACGCTCCCTACATCTGCACCTGCCACACACGTCAGCGCCCCTCCACCCGCACACGCCCTGTGCCTCGGGGGGCTCCAGGCCCCACCTCCTCTGTGGTCCCCAGACCCTCACAGTGTCCAGGCCCCCAGCCCCATTTCTGGCTGCTCTCCCCACACTGTCCTCCCTCAGCCCTGGCTGCCGGTCCCTCCACCCACCCTTTACATCACACGTCCCGCGCCCAACCCCGCCCAGCCCCCCTCTCTTCTCGGACCCTGTCAGTGTTCTCAGGGTGACCTCAGGGGGCACTGGTAATAGGAAAGCTCTCCTCCCCCGTCCCCAGAGACTGTCCTGCTGCCTCTGACCCCCGTTTTTGCTCTAAGAGCCCTTTCCAGTAAGCAGGTCAGCCTCCCCCTGTGGCCCACTGTGAGGGTCCCTGGGGGACACCCGGAGACGCCCCTGCCCCACCTGGCCGGGGGTGCTGTGCCCCCTGGCCGATGGCCCTGGTCCATCACTGGGGGGCTATGGGGCCGCCACCCCATCTCAGCCTGCCAGCTAAGGGGCAACTTGCCCCCACCTGCCCTGTCCCCTTCTCTCCCCTTCTGCTACCTAGTCCCCCTGTCTCTCCTCTGTCTCCTTTTCTCTCCTTTTATCTTCCTCCCCCTGCTCCCAGGGCTCCCCCTCTGCCCCTCCTGGCCCCTCCTTATTTCGTCCCCAGCTCTGACCCTGCCTGGGGAGAACAGAAGCTGCGGGTGTGCCTGTGGGGCGGTTAGTGGGGGTGGGCCGGCAGGTGGGGGTGGGAGGCCACGGGAAGCCTTTGAAGCTGGTTCGGCTGCACACTCTCCGGTCTTCAAAGCCAGAGCGGCAGGTGGCAGGGGTGGGCGGAGCCCGGCAGGGGGACAGTGCGGGGAGCAGGGGGCCAGCCCCCCAGCTCAGCACCTGAGTTTGCAGCCGTGGTCTGGACCTAGAGGGGGAGGGGAGTCCAGAAGTCCTGGAAAGGGGATCTGCCACAAGGGGAGGTGGGCAGTGGGTGGGCAGCAGGCCCTGAAGGCTGGGCAGCACCCATGGGGCTCTAAGACAAGGCGAGGGGACAGTGGGCTGTCCCCCTCCTGCAGCCCATGCCCCCTCCCTCCCCGCCTGCATGGTCACCTCCGCCCCAGGGGCAGGAAAACACCACTCCTTTCCGGGGAGTGGCAGGAAGCAGGGCTGGGGCTTCCTGTAAAGGGAGGGCTTGTCGGAAGTAGTCCTGGGGAACGCGTAGTGCTCCCCACACTGTGCTCCTCAGAGCACTCCTAACAGTTATTCCGCAAGTTAAGGATTCTGTGACCAACCAAGTTTGGGAAACACTGGACACTGTCATTGGTGCCTTCAAGGCGCTGGGCTTTGGCTTTGAACCCTGTCCTCACCTTCCCAAGGTGCCCTACAGACAGGCTGTCCACAGCAGGGAGGCCCGAGGGGGCGTGTGGTGGCAGCTCAGCTTCTCTCTGTCTGCTCTTGAAAACTGAGGTCAAGGTCAGCTTGTCCTTGGCTCCTGTGGTTTCCAGGCCGTGTCTCCTGGCAGCTCCCACGGGAGCACCCCCATTCTCTGTGCTTCCATAGGAGGCATCCATCCCGGAGTGGGGTGGGGGGCGGGGGAGCACAGGGAGATGGGCCGAGGCTGCTTCCAGGCCCGCAGCGCCTCCTGGGCCAGGGGCCCCGGCACAGGGAGAAGACCCGAAGGGCGTCCTCCTCACAAGGCCCGGGGCCCGGAGATGCCTCCGGGAAGGCTGAGTCCCAGCGCTGGCCGGAGGTAGAGAGCAGCGGAGGCTGGGGGACCCCAGGCCGGTGGGACGGGGAGCTGGGCCTGCCCAGAAGTGCTCAGGGGAGGCAGGTGGAGAGAGGAGCACGTGGGGCTCCAGATCTGGGGCCTCTAGCACCGTGAGATTGCTGGCAGCGTAGCAGCTACAGCACAGTGACGGACAGGCAAGGACACTGAGGCCCGGGGACGGGGGCAGCAGGGTCTGATCAGCATCTCAGCTCTCTCCAGCCAGACACCAGCCCCCTCTCCGCCTCCCTCTCCCCCTTGCGTCCCGCCGGGCCTTCTCCCCGGCCCTCTCCCCTCTCCCCTGTGCGCTCACCATGTTTCTCTCTCCCACCAGCTTCACAGGGTGCCAGGCTCCGGTCACCCTCCTGCAGGCTCGCCTCCTCCCAGCACTGCTCCTCTGCCCGCGAGAGTGTGCGCGCCCCGGTGGGCGTGTGCGCGTGCCCGTGTGCAGGGGCGCGGCCGGGAGCCCGCCCGCCTCTCTTCCTCCCGCAGGAGCCGGCCTGGCGCCCCTGCCTCTGTGTGCCCGGGGCCCCTGCCCCCCCAGGACTGGCGGCTCTTGTCTCTTCCTGTATCTCCCTGTTTTCTCCCCTCTCTCTCTGCCTCCAGCGATCTAGACAAAGACTTTTGGAATAACAATGAGAGCACAGTGCAGCAGAAATGGAGCTCCTACCCTCCCAAGGAGTTTATTCTAAACATTTCACCCTACGCCCCTTATGGCGACCCACGACTGTCCCTCAAGTGAGTGACTTTACCTGGTTCGATCCTGTGTACCGAGTCTCTGCGCACGCCCTCCTCCTCCCTCCCGTCCTGTCCCTGGACTCTCCTCCCGCTGCTCTCCTCCCCCACCCCCTCCCCTGCAGCCCATGGGCAGGCTGGCCATGGAGACGAGCAACCCCTCCTGCACCCCTCGCCTGCCCGCCCCCCTCCTGCCCCCCACCCCCAGGGCCGCCACTCAGGAGAGGCCCTCTGCAGCCGGCAGGCGGCCCCACGGCCCCACGCTGGTCCCCGCGGCCCCACCCCTGGCAGTCAGGACGGGGTTGCCCGTACGGGTCCCTCCCCCTCGGTGTGGCTCGGCTTCCCTCCCCGCTGTGCGCTGCTGCCCTGGCTGCTGGTGGTGGTGGTCGGTGGTGGTCGCGGAGGTGGTGGCGGTGGTGGTGGTGATGAACTCTGACTAACACGGCTTTCTCTCTCTCCCTGCCTGGGGGCCTCCTGGCCTGGACAGCCTGCTCTTCCTCCGTCGTTAACCCTCCTCGTTGTCCTGTGGGATAGAGTTGGAGGTGGCTGCCCTCCCCCACCCCCACCGCCCCTGCCCCAGGCGGTGGGGAGGGGCCCCCTCCACTGTCGTGGTGCGTTGCTCTCCAGCCCCCCCGCCCGCCGGCCCCTCTCTCCTCTCCGCAGGCTCCGCTGCTAACCCACCGCAGTGCTGATGTCTCTCTCTCTCTCTCTCTCTCTCTGTCTCTTGTCCGTCTGTCTCTCTCCTCCTCCTCTCTCGCTGTCTCTCTTTTCCTTTTATCTGTTATTGTTCTTCCTCCTCTTCTACCTCCCCACCCCCACGTGTGTCCTGCCCTCTCTCCCCCACCGCCACCCCCGGCGCCCCCTGGCCCGGCTGCCTGGCACCGCCTCCAGTGGCACCCTCCTGTCCGGCGCCAAAGTGGCCGCCGCAGCGGGGCTGGCGGTGGAGCGGGAAGGCCGGCTGGGGGAGACGCCGGCGCCGGTGCCAGCACCCGGAGAGGACGCCTTGAGAAGCGGCGGCGCTGCCCCCAGCGAGCCGGGCGGCGGTGGCAAGGCGGGGAGAGGCCGCTGGCGGACGGTGCAGAGCCACCTGGCCGCGGGGAAGCTCAACCTGTCCAAGTGAGTGATGGCCCCACGGCCGCCGGAGCCGAGCGCTCAGGCCGCCCCGCCAGGGCGGACAGCGGGACCCCTGGCGCACCCGCTGCTGCCCCCAGAGGGGCCGTCCTCGGCCCCTGGCTCATCCCATCCCTTCATGAGACGCCCATCGTCCTTGCCATCAGCACAGCTAGCAGCCATCAATGTCGCCTCAGCCCGTGGCCACTGCCCCGCCAGGCTCTTCCTCGGCCCCGTGACCAGGTCATTTCATTTTCTGCCCCCCTTCCCCCCGGGGCGGCTCCATCTCAGCCCTCCGGCCATCCCTCCTCTTTCACTGGTGGCCCCGTGCCAGCCGCCAGGTCACCCCTCCCTGGGCAACTGTCCAGCCATTGGGCCATCCCATCCCTGGGGGAGCTGGCCCGCTCTCAGCCTGTGTTTATGCCACTCATCTGCCACCCACCGGCCTTCCCTCTTACGGCCAGCAGATGGCTCTAGACCCAGAGGCTGAGCCCTGCCTGTGTGACCATCCTCCGGCCACTCCATCGGCTTGTCTCCGTCTTGCTCACGCCATCGCACCACCCGTGACGCAGGCCCACCCAGTCCATCCTCATCTCAGCCCTCCCCACTGGCTGTCCCGGCGCAGTCCGCGGGCTGGCGGGGCGCTGTGTTCTCGGAGGTTGGGTCGTGGAGCCCCAGCTGGCTTCCCTTTCTGACGAGGGTGGTCTGGATGTCGGGCGGAATTGTTTCATAGCTGCCCGGCCTGGTCAGCCAGTCAGTCCCTGCCCTGGGCGATGGCTGTAGGGCTGGCCCTCCTCTCTGCAGGTAGCACGCTCCACCACCCCCACCCTCACCCCCACCCCCAAGGGGCAGCCTTGTTCTCATCTAGAACCTTCTGTTGCCCCAGGCTCTCAGGCCCTTGAACCATCCTCACCCGCTGGGACATAGGTTCCAATCGGCTACAGAACTTGCTCCCCACCCATGGGATTCCTGCCGTGGGGTGTACCGAGGCCCCTGTGCTGAGGGCGCATGTGTTTTCTGGCCTGAGGCACACAGGCGAGGTCCGTCCTCGCCTTCTCCCCGGCCCCATCAGTCCTCAGGAGAGTCCGGAAGGCAGCCCACCCCGCTCTGGAAGCAGGCCCAGCGCGGCCCTCCAGGCTGCTCCGGCCACAGAGCCAGGCTGGCTGAGGCCTCCAGGCCACCTGCCGGCTCCAGGCCTAGGGGAAGCAGGTTTTACTTTCCTGTGACCAAGAAGCTGTAAACTAGGCTCGTTTTGGATAGGATAGGAAACCGTTGGAGGTCAGCAAGGAGGGGGGCGGCCACCCAG